TAACCCATGATAAAAATATGAGTTACATCTACCTGCATTGAGAACCCTATGTTGTGTGCAGAGTAGGCTTCTAACATGGGTTAGCAAATTTATATTTGTATGTATTTATATTATTCTAAAAGACCTTGCCGGTTTTCTTTTTTATTGTTTTAAAAATTATAATGTAAAACTGTTAATATTCTTTTATATAATGCCAATACTTGCATTGGCTTCGCATCCAGGCCATAAAAGTTAAACAGAATGTTTTAATAGTATCATATAATGTTTGCAAATGGTGGTTGTCCAAATATTTTCGAAGTCTAAATATCATTTCATCTTACCATTGCTTGCATACATGCATGGCATTCGCTCTTACTATAACAAATTATAGAAGCCATTTTTTGACAATTGAATTGTAATTTTATTAATCAAGAAATGAAAGCTATTTCAGGCATTCCAAGGAGAGGCATGGGGTGCAACCTCTCCTTAAAAGAAAATTACAGAAAAAAAACAGTAGCGAAAGGATTACAAAGCAGCCCCTGTATAAGCTTTCCCTATTAACCCCTTGTTTGGCAAGACAATTGGGCAACACATCTGCCGATCTTCCCACCCAGTGTAGGCTACTAATATTTATGTTTCTAATTAGCCACTTAGCTTTCTTTAGAAGATCCCTGTATCACCAAACCACTGAGTCTGAACCTGCCAGCCACCCCAAACAACTTTAGAATCTCCTTCAAGTATTAAATTTTCCACCCCAAGTTGATGTGCAATTTGAATACCTTGTAGGGCTGCTAACAGTTCAGCCTTATTAGAGCTAAGATGTTAAAGTCCTTATCTATCAGGCCCCTCCTATTCCAGAGGGTCCTGGGTTTGAACATGCTAATGAAATTGGTTCTCTATCTGGATATTCTGGATCAGCCATAAGATCCATACATGTGTCAGAAATAGCTTGTGTAGGGAAGCTACTTGTAAACCTTATTTTGAGTAAGTTAAAGTTGTATCGATAACAGTAAATAGTATTAGTAATTATTAGCATAGCCTATGTACGTTGTACAATAGAAGCTACACAAGAACCTGAGAAACCCCATAAAGCAAAAACAAAAGTGGTTCTTTTCACAAGAAGAGTGCCAAAAGCAAAATATAAGCATAGTTTTAAAAGGCTAAAGAGGTGAGGTGTGAGGTGTATGCCTCAAGGTGAGGTGGCCACTGGCCAGAAGAAGCCTTGCGTAATAGTGGCTCAGTCTTCATCTATGGGGCTTAAGCCCTTGTAACTCACGAGGTGTGCGCCTCAACCAATTGCCTCTCAAAAAGGAAAATAAATAACTAGAGAGAGGTAGCAAGGGAATTAATAATTGATAAATAGTCAAAAATGTAAAACTAATGCATAAAATGAAATTAGGGAATTTTTGTGGAGCTATAATTGGAAGGGAGAGAGAGACCGTGACTGAAAGAGTGATATTGTCAGAGCAAACCTTTGTGAATCACTGAAGAAGATTGAATAATGCTCTGTTTATTGGAAGTCTATCCACTAGATCAATTTCATTTTCTTCTTCAGGCTTTGTCATTTTTCATGCTCTATTTGTTGGAAATCCACCCACCGACTAGTCCTCGATGTAGATTTTAAGGCTACCAAGTTAAGCTTCAAAGCCCGGACAATTACTTTTAAGTTCTAATGTTTCAAGATCAATTGTATGTTATATGAAGATTTTTTAGGCCTTAAAAGATTGGTTATAAAATTGACGGTTAAATACCTCTGTATTTTGATCTTCTTGACTGACTGGTGGTTGCTGTTGTATGTACTCTGTAGTAAACAGTACACCCAAATTTATTAATGCGAGCAATACCAATAGTGAAAAAGTCCAATTGGTATATGAAACGAGAGGGTGTTATTAGTAGCTTAACAAATAATGGGATGTACTCAAATTAATGTCCTATTCTTTAATTTTTTTGGTAAATAAAATAAATTACTATTTTGGATAGATAACAAATTACTTTTCTGGGTATTCTAATGCAAGTTTGTCCTTAACTTGTATTCACAAATATTAACCTTTTCCTTTGATTCTTAGCTTCTGGTGTATATATATTTCCTTTTTTTTCTTTTTAGTTTTACAATGGTTTTTTGGGAGTTATTAATTGGTCAGGAATTTAGTATGTTTCGGTAGGCCAAATTACATGATCAGCTACCTGATTACTTTGAGTCAGTAGCCAATTCTTCTTTGCTTTGTTAGGTTTCAAAGCATGAACTAACACTTGATGAAAAAATTAAGAGTTGCAGCAGAAGCAAACCTTATTGATTAGTATGTACCAGTTTGTTATGCTTATAAATGTATGGCAGAAATAGTTGCTATGGTCGATTTACATGAGGATAGGCAAAATGTGATGAATGCATGTTCTGGAAAAAATAAATTTGATTGTATTAGAATAAACTGTAAGCTAGCCTATTGGTGTCATTAGACCATTTATATACTAGATAAGTCACACAAAATTACATTAAACTTCAATTTCATACTTTTCTTTAATGCCTTTGTTGTTTTTGATCTGTATTCATAATTTTTATCTTTTTACTTTGAGGCTCAAGCCTCAAACCGCCCTGAGGTTTATGCTTTCCTCTCCAATACCAAACCACATTGTCTCTGCCTTTAGCCTTTTAAACCTTGAATATAAGTTTTGCTACTTCTGTAATAGACAAAGGTGGACCTAAGCATCTATAAAAAAAGTGAACCTAATCCACTGCCTTGCTGAAAGTCATCTTTTTTGGGAATAGAGCAGTGCTCAAAGATTGGGGAATTTCTCTTGCTTCAAATGACCTAGATTTTAGCTATTGGTAATGGTACTCCAGACCAAGGTTTAAAATGTTGGTGTTGATGGAAATATTGTAAAAGTAATGGACATGGTGGAAACGTTGTGAAATATGAAACAATCTATAATGATGTTTTGTGGAATGATTAAAGCCAAAGTTTATAAACAAAATAGTACTGTGTGGTTGTCCTACAAACTTCAAGAAACAAAGATGCATGATTCAATGTGTTCAAGCAAAATTAAAATTCATATAAAATTTAAACTTTCTAATAGATGAACCAAATAATCTATTACACATAGAAAAACTAAGATTTAATTTCATGTTTGAGAAGAACTTTTGAGCTGGCTCAAAGTGGCAATCATGTCATTAGGCAGGTAGTAGCATTGTTACTCAACAAATCTATACAATATTTTATCACAAACTTATGTTATGACACCATCTCTTGTACTCTGGAGTCTAGATAACGCTAGTAGTGTGTTACTGGGGAATTCTTAGTTGAGGCTGGTGAAGAAGTTTCAAAGAGTAATCTTGTTCCCAAGTCCACTTCCACCATGAGTCTTTGACCAGGTCACTCTCAATACTGCCAATACTAGACTCCCCAAATGTTTACTCATCGGTTTTTTCCTCTTCACAGCTTACCCAATTTGAATCCAACTCATCTTATTCCTTTTTGTTTATGCTGTACTTCAGATTTGGGTGATCAGGGCTGGTTGAGTAGGATACCAACCTCAGTCTCTAGGCGAGCCATTTTGCAGTAGTTTCAGTCAAACGGGTTTTCTTTGAAAAGTAGATCAAGTCATTTGTATCAGGCCGTGATATCCAACATATTGGTATCATTAGTTTCCAACATGTGATACATTAATACTGGAGGTGTCTCTTGCAAGTCATGTGTATCAAGCTGATACCGGTGTGTATCAGTTAGTATCACATTGCATTGACCGATACATGCTGATACAGACTGATATAATGCGATATGACACGTGCGATGCACATGCCCCATGCTTTTCTACTAAAAAATAATGAAGTGATTCGAATCCATGCCAACCGGCATAACAACGCTTAATGCCCTAGTGCTTAAACCACTAGGCTATTTAACTTTTTTATGTTAATAAGTAAAATAAAAGTACTTTTATTAACTTTATTGTCTAAATGCAATTCAAATAAATAATATATATTTATGTTTAACAACTCCAATTAAAAATAAAAAACAATATTCAAAATTAGTATTTTATAAAATAATGGAATAAATCATATATATCAAATGATTATTTTAATCTTGATAGAATTCAGGTCTGCCTTAGAGTTCGGCCTGGCTGAGTTCAGTTATGTAGAAGAAGAAAAGGTGATAAAGAGAGAGAGAGAGAGAGAGAGAGAGAGAGAATTCTGGTTTGAACTGAAAGAGTCAACTTGACTTCTCCCAGTCGGCCAGTAAGTATTTATATTATTATTAAAACATGACTGAAAAGACCTATGTGCCCTTATTTAAGTTAAGAGCACATGTTCCAACACAACATTACAGATCAGCAACATTAATTAAGGTATAAAGACAGAAA